CCCCCCTGTAAAGAAGTTTCGTCTTTAACGATCTTTAACAAGGACCCTTTGTTAGCAATCATTAACGAAGAGAGGAAACCGACATGAAGGGCATCTGTACATCTCATTGAGTAGTATTTAAGAAATTATCAAGAAGTTTTAACTCCCCCACAACTTTAAGTTCATGTAAGACGACATTCAATAAAGTTACATGTCATTTTTTTCTTCAAAATCGATAGTTTTTCCAAAAATGACCGTTTTTATAAAGTTCTTTGTTTTGTTAACGATCGTTAACAACGACCCTTCCTTAATGATCATTAACATAATTGTCAATAATTTTTTTTTTCAAAAACTTTTTTTTAAAAGCGATAGTTTTTAAAAAACAATTGTATAAAAAACGGTCACAAATTGTTTAAAAAAAACGTTTGTTTTCTAAAAGTTCTAAACAAGTGGGTCATTTTTAAAAACTAGTTTTTTTTCCAAAAATGAAACTATCGTTTTAGAAAACGATTGAAAACGAAAAAAAAACGATCGTTTTCAAAAACAATTAACAACCCTACCTACAGAAAGTATTATTATACCCATTTCAGGTTACTAGACTGTTTGCCATTATTATGGTATCTGAAGCCATTAGATACATGTTTGGAAATCAGATAGCTCAGTTTTCCTGTCCCTTAAGGATTGTCTTACTCAGACTTTGGAAGAAGAGACATTGATCATCTAAATATTGAAAATTTTCTGGATACCAACCGAAATTACGGACCATACCTGAGGGTTGATATCTTCCGTAATCCATCACAGATGGAAATCCGACTTTCAAGACAGGTTTTTTAATTTAGATCAACCTATATCTACAGGGTGAATCACGAAAAGATGAGACAGCAAAGACTACCTCAAGGTCATACTATATGACAGTCCTAAACTTAACTTAAGTCTTCTGCATTGAATATTGCAGAGAATCCCATATATTTTGTCACGGAAAGTATAAATGCATACAGTCGTTTCTGAATTCTTATCCTTTGTGGTTTACCCATTTTGCTAACAAATATGTATTCTAAATCTAGTATGGTAAACTCTGTAACACATTTATTTTCAGAACAACTGGAACTTTCAAAGACTGAACATTTTCAATATTCAGCAGACAGGCTTTCCTCGGTTAAATGAGCAGGATCTGCGTGAGATCTGGGGTGGATCTTATGGGTATGTTGTCTGTAATGTTACTTAGATTTTAAATAACTTAGTTGACTTTAAAGAGAGTGACTGGCAATGTATGGTAGCTGAGCTGAGGAACTAAGGATTTTAAAATTTGAATTTGCGCTCTTGCAGAACAAATATACACCGTAAAAACTTTTCATAAGTCTCAAATGATTACTATTTCTACACAATACTACATTCTCAGTTCAACTAACATACTACATTCTCAGTTCAACTAACATACACTGTCAGTCACTCCCTTTAAATATATAAAATTACATTTGTTTCATTACAAGAAATGGACAACAGGGTTCTAGAAATCCTGATTTATGCTTGAAATTAAACGTTTTTAAAGGGAGTATGCATGTACTTTGATGTAACTCTCCATTTATTGTGGCATAGCTGTACCTGATAAACTTTTTATCATGGATAATTCAGAGGTCCTAGTTTTTTTGATGAAATATAATATTATTAAATTAACGGGCATTGTAAGAATTCAATACTTTCTAATAGTAGTTAAAGATATCTTCTGCATTGCTATGTGCTGTTGTGAATCATACATGATGCTCTATAAATAAAGAGTCGATTGAAATTTTAAACCTTTTCAAATAAACAGTTTGTCAGTCTTTTCTTTTAACTATACATGATTGTTAGGTTAACTAGTCATTAATTTTTTTTTAAGGCCCAAGCATGTTCAAGGCTATTTAACAGAAATGAGAACTCAAATATCAAAGCTACAAGACCAATCTTGTAATCACTAGTTTAAAGGGATAAATTTTTTATAGGGCTGGGCAACATTATTTTGTATTATAAATTAAATACATTGGTTCACAATTCCATTATCTGTATTGAACTTCCCCACTCAAATAATTAGTCCCAGGTCGCTCAGGTTCATAAGTCCAACTTTTTTTACCAGTTATTACTCCTTTAAATCTCCTTTGATATATGTTTCAGCTTTGGTTGAATATTCAACAGCCAGCGGCCATCTCTATTCCTTGAACCATATGTTGTATAGTGTATATCTTAAAGCGTCAATTTCTTCATTGATAAAAATCAGTTTTTAGCATTATATATATTTATAAGGATGTCTTCGTTATTAGCTAGAAAAATAAAATCCGATTCAAATGATTTAATATTATGCACTATTGTAAACGGAGATCCCAATTCATAAATTTTACCTAATTCACCTAATACTACGTCTACAATTAATTAATCAAATGATATAATAGGGGAGACAGTACCAAGGATTACGCCAGTTTCATGTTAGCTGTGAAGGTCAACTCTGGACCTGGGAAGGTGTATCCTTTGATCAGGTAAAAGAACAATTGTTTTCTTAAGGAAAGTCAGAGTTTTTTACATTCAGTTTTAAATTTTGATTTTAACATTTGTATTATGTTGTACAAGTCAAACTTTTCCATAACTAAACAGTAAAAACCCTACATGCTTCAAGTAAATAGTGTTGAACTAATTGACATTGGATAGGTTTACTTTAACTTTTTAGGATAATCCTCCAGCAAGATGGCATGGTAATGGATGGGATGGCGCTAGAATAATAAAGGCAAATATCCTATCCAAACACACCAGTAACACTACTCACACTGCTGTGGTTTGTTTTGTTCCTGAAGGGAAAATCTGTGCCAATCAAACTTTTCAGTATTCAAATGACAATTTGAACAGAATAAAGGTAATTTAATTTTGTTTGTATTTCAAGTATTTTTCATAGATAGCGAGCTCATTAGTATGGGTGCTAGGGATGGATGAAAAAAAAATTTAAATCAATGTTTTGTTTTATACAAATAAAAAGATGTGACCCATTTTCTACATTCATTTTTCAAGGGATTTAATCACAAAAAAGTTTTGAGCTATTTAAACTTTCTTTTACATGGACCGGACTTTTTACCACCCAGTACCTACCCAATTCATCAAAAAAAAATTTTAAAAGTTATATTTAATTTCTGTTCACTGAAAGTCAATAAAAAACGTTCATGGTGATGGTGTCAAAAATGAAAGTACAAGGGCAAAAAAACTAGAGTGGTTGTGTCCAACGCCCCATACCCCCAACCTGTTTAGGGTTAAGTTTGCAAAATATCTTTAAAATTGTCTAGAGTTTGAAAACAAACCACAAAACCATCTCCTTCAGTAAAATGTAAAATTATTGTATTTAGATGTGGGTATGTGGACCTAGAAATAGGGCTGGATGTAAACCAGGGGCCAGGACTGTATGTCCCTGTCTACACTGCTTTTCTCTTATAGCTATTCTTGGCCTGTACAGCCATAGCCCCCTTCTACAGGGTACTACCCACAAGAGAACCATTATTGTAGATCCTGGCAATGGTCTACCCGCTCAACATTTCTTCATATAAGAGTTGTGAATCAATTTTTTTAATACTTTATTTTGTTATCATGTTAAATATGTTTTATTGTTATCATGCTAATATTTGTGAGACTTCAATCTTTCAATCTTGGAACCAAGATAACTTCATTTATTTGGGTATAACTAATCTTTATAGTTACTAACTAAAATCTGACCTTGACTGAATAAGTTAATATATTTTACGAAAGGATTAAATAAATCCCTTACCTCCTGGAAATTAATTAAGGAGATAAAAAATGTTACTTTTAATACAAATCTGTGAATGCGAGTTATTGAAATTTTTTGTAATTCTTCATTCCCACAATTTATGAAGGTATGAGTCGTTCTTCAATTTCTAATGGGTGGATTCAAAGGCTGGACCTTCCATAAACTACCTTGGTCAACAACTTTATGTCTCCTATATTAGTCGTCAAATGTACAGAGAAATATTTATCAGTTAAGAATTGTCTACCAGCCAACAAATCGTCCCCCATAGTACCTTAACTACACGACCACTGTTTATGGAGAGAACGGGCTCTGGATACTATATATATAGATATTCTCACAATGATCTAGATAGTAAACAAATTGAGGCATTGATTTCGAGACTTTGTGGCAACTTTAACCTTAAAAGACATAATATGCATTGTCGAATGATGTCCATAAAACTGTGGAATAGTAAATTGACTGTTACTTTTGATTTTGATTAATCTATTTAACATGAAACACAGCAATTGTGCAATGTACACAGACACAATTAAGTTAATAAGAGAATGTGAAAAATACACAAATATAGGCATCATTTGTGAAGGAACAAAATGTTTTGTATACAATTGTGTAGATATCGATGAAAAAACGAAAAACAAATAACGACCAATTTAAAATCATTATCAAGCATTCACATTTCATGAATCAGTCGAACAATTGATTAAAGGAATTTCAGGTTAGGCCCCCCCCCCCCAACCAGACTAATTCCTGTGCATATATGTAAGGGTGTATGCATGCATTTGTTTTACATACAGTGGAAGGCGATTATATCAATATAAGGAAGATGTCTTTCGATCTCATTTTCTATTTTTTTTCATGCTTTTAAGCAGCATGGATTCATAAAAACATTGAAACATGGAGACGTTGTCAATTAAAAAACTTCTTTTAATGACTTGTGAATTTGAATTCGATAGAAACTTGTTAACAATAAACTCGAAGAAAAAGTCGTTATAATGATAGTATCGCCTACCATCGTATAGAAAACCAAACAGTTGTATATCCCCCCTGGTGCTTAAATTGCTCTTATTTTAATTTAAGTCTACATTTTCCCAAAGTAGTCCCATACGTATACGTAGTTCCTCCTCCTCGATCCCCTAAAGTAGTTACATTACCCTCCCCCTAACAATAGCTTTAACTGTTTATCAAGTAACTGTAGTTAAGTATAAAATAATAACTGCCATGACAGAGGTGTTTAATCTTAAAAAAATAAGTAGATCAAATAAAACCCAGTTTCAATACTTTTTACATAAAAAATATATTTATTTTCCATTAAAGAATTCAGAATTTTCACCAAATCAGCGTAAAATAAATATGCCAAATAAGATAATTAAAACCCTTCTATTGTTAAATATAAACCCTGTAGCGCGAAGCGCCAAAAATAATTGTGAACAATTTTGTTAGGGGGAAACACATTTGTTCAGATTGGAGCAAACTCATTTTTTGCATACCACACCTGATATGCAAACCATGGGGATGAAGCCCCCCCCCCCCTGTGTAATCTACCGCTTGTTGAGCATATCTAGTTGTTGAGCAAGCTATACTTGTATATACTTGTATATACTTGCATATACTTGTATATACTTGTATATACTTGTATATACTTGTATATACTTGTATATACCTGTATAGATGTAAAAATAATCTTTTGAAATGACGAAACCCATTATATCATCACTTAATAAAATATTACAGTCCATTCTGAAAGCCATGGGTGCAAACATTAGCCTTTAATATCCGCAATTGTAGAGTTTTCTAAAACCAAGGCACAGAAAGTTTCCATATCGTTTAAAGTTTTGGCTTCTTGTATTGAGGTTGCGTGGTTTTCTTCTTATCTGTCTCACATGCAAGGATGTGGCAATTGTTATATATGTAAAAAAAAGTATTACACGTGATTACAGGGGATGAACTTAAAATGTTTTTGACCAATTTTCTCGGAGAACACTTTTAAAAAACACTGTTAAATTCAAACTAATTTAATAATATTCTTTAAAAAAAATTAAATCTTGATTCTTAATTGGTTTCGGGCTCAATTTCTTTTCAAATACTCCAAGCAATGGGTTCAAATTCGGCATGCCAAATCATTTGGGCCTGGGGAACAATAGTTTGAAATGATTAAAAAAAAGGAATTTTTGGCAATTTTCTCCAATACATTCTCCGGCTCCGGTGGATATTTTTTTGAAAACTTTCCAAACAAATGTTCCCTGAAAAGACCCAATTATGATGTTTATAATTCTGTAGGCTAAAATTTTGCCTGAATTAAGTTATTGGTCAAAATGTTACTAAAAATCAATTCCTTTATGTATTAATTGCTTCACAAAGAGTTTTTATATCTGAAAATTGATAATGGTTTTAGTGTTAAAAATGTATTAATTTTGGATTAATATAGCAGAGGCAAATAAAGAACTAAAGCAAACTCTCATATATTTTCAAGTCAATTAATTTCTGAATTAGGTATGTGATACCTTAATTGGAGGGTCACTTGAAACTGGGTCAATAGCCTATAGGAAAAAGTATTAAAAAAGGGATATTTTGAATAAGGGAGTGAGTTTTAAAGTTTTGATTTAATTTTAATGTATTTCAGCATAGGAAGCCAGAAAGGATAGGTTTTATCCCATATCGAAACAACTATGGACGTTGATGTAGACATTCTTCAATTTTTTTCTTAATAGATGACACTCATGTAAGTATTTATATGAAATCATTATAACATTTGTTCTAATCAATGTTATATTGTTCCTATAATCCTTCTCCTTTCATCTGTTGTTAAACTGTAAGATAATCTATCAAGTATTACCATTTAAATAAAGAATCAAAGCAGAAACAGTTTACATATAGTCAGAGCAGTTTGAAACCAGTCATTCAAAGGACATCAATCCTCCCTCCAAATAACAAAAAGCACTAGATTGTAATAAGCCCAGTCATACATACTTTTTCTTATCCTTAACTCCACTAGTCATACTATATTACAGGGTTACTCACAAAGGATGAGATCTAAGGACAACAGTCAGCATTTTTTTAGTCCTTGCTTATCAATTGAATTTTCCCCGCCACAGCAGTTAACGTTTTTTTCTTTATAATTCATTGAATATATCATTCACAACTTCACAAGCTATATTTAGGGCTGGAAGTCAATTCAACCTTCAGATTGTCATAGTTTATAGACTTTCAGGCATCATAAAAGTGCACATTATTATATATTTTTTATTATTCTTTTTTTTCTAAAAGTAAGCTAAATGGCTCATTCGCCCGACGGTGAATTTAAATAGCTTATTTAACACTTTGCCAAAATACCATCATAATTCTTGATGGCCATTGAAAAAAAATACAATATTTATCAAACAAAAAACAACAAAATTTTTACAAAAATAAGGTCTAAAGTAAATTAAAAATGCAAGTTTTTTAATGAAAATTTCATTGAAAACCACAATTGGTAAAAAGAGGATCCTAAAATGTGTGTAATAAAACTTCAGTCTTAGATCCAATTTTTCATGTTTTTGTAATTTTTTTTTAAATTCTGATCATTCTTGATAATTCTGTTGTTCCAGTGAAAGAGCAATTGTTATTCAAGTTCCCTGTTTACAACGCCCAGTTCTAGTTTTAGTTCAACTTGTATACTTATCTGGTTATTCATTCCCTTTTAGCATTTTATGAGCAGTAATAATCAAGAGAGGAGTACATGAAAATAAATTTCCAATTTATTCTGATGTTCAAGTTCAATTAAAATATTTACATCTTTTACATAATGCATTATAGCCATCTCCATAACTTTTTATTTGTACCAAGTTCTCTTCATACAAGGAGGCATCCAACAACGTTGAGTCTGAAATATATTAAAAACAAATAAAACTTTTAAATTCACCCCCATATTCAAAGTTTTCCTTTATTAATATTTTCCTACAGAGCTGTTTGCCCAATTTCAAGTAACCCTCTCTCTTTAAAGTGTTATATATGCTTAATTCATTGGTTTAATGACTTGATAATATATGAGAGTCGTAGTGGGTTTCATGTTGAGTTCAATGCCCTGGAAAAATCCAAAACAGAGAGAGGGGTATTGAATTTTGTAGATCCAGAAAAATAATCAAATTAGTATTTATTTAGGGTTGGGTTAGGTTAAGACACTCTCTGGGCCAAATGCTGCAGCTTGGAAAGGCAGAGCGCTGCAGCCACAGATGAGGTTAAGTTGTGACACTCTCTGGGCAGAGCGATGCAGCTAGGACAGGCTAGAGGGCTGAGCGCTGCAGTCACATGGCTTACATTTAAGACCCCACCAGCTGCCGGTCTCTATGCAGGCATCCCACAGATATTAATTTTCTGGATCTACAAAATTCAATCCCCCTCTATCTGTTTTGGAGTTTTCCGGGGCATTGAACACAACATGAAACCCACTCCGCCTATATGAGAGCTGGTTAATTTCCTTATTTGTCTCTGCTACCAAAATCCGAAATTCATATTTTTTAACAGAGGGCCACAATTTTCAGATATAAAAACCCTTTGTGAATCGATTAATTTATAAATTAAGAGTCAATTGGAATTATAACAACAATCTATTTATACTTACGTTTAATTGTTTTGGCAATACAGGAGCCACCCCTCCATTCTCGGTTTTTTCAAAAGGTCCTTATAATAAACTTAGTTATTTCAAAAATAAAGTCTAATAAAAATTTTAGTTAAATATAAACTGGGAATTTCTCAAAAACAGGTTCTAGGTACTAGGCCTCAAGAAATTCCAAGAAATTCTTAAGACAATTCGTCAGAAGTTTCAGAAGTTATTTGGAAAACAAATTTTTGAGACAAAGTTCAGAAGTATTTTCTTGTTGAAGAACAGAATTATGAGACCATATGCAATTTACAACCCCGTGATGGCTTGCAAAGAAAAGTAAAATTTACAAACTAAAAGAGACCAAATTTCATGAATTTGAACTGCTTGCCATTTCAAATCCCTCAGTAATTGTTTAGCTTTGATATATTTATAAAAGACGACATTACTGTTTGTCTATCTTACAATACAAAGCATGTAGTTTCCATTTAAACTCAGCACCTTTCACAGGTGTGGAGACAGTTTCCAAGATAAATTTATCAATATAAAAAGGTAATAGTTGTAAACCTTAAATAACCTTTAGATTGTATGAATAAGTGTTAGGTTGTTAGAGTAGCAGTTGATCTCTAGTCCAGAAAAACTGCTGGAAGAAAAAAACAAGATTCTGAAAGAAAGTACCAAGTTGCAGAAGTCAAAGAAGAAGATAACTGAAGTGTTAAGAAAATGGCAAGAGGTAACTGCGGAAGAACATCTTGTGCATGCAAACTTTAAAGACTCCATATCAAATGGATTTGTAACTGAGCCCTTACTTCATTGTCAAGATCTAGAAGATATTAATAGTAGTCATTTTGCACAGAACTTCCTAAAGAATAAAGGAAAAGGTTCATTACTAGACAAGCTAGCAACGAGGCTAATGAAGCATACAGCAGTTCTGGATGATATCACTGCCAACACAGATGCCTTGCATGGGCGGTGCTGCTACTGCTGAGAGAGCAGTTAGCTAAAGCCCAACTTATTATCAAACCTACTCCAGATCCACTACTTACAGAGAAACTGAAGTCTAGCTTATCAAAAAAGTTGACCCTGGCTGGAGCCATTGATGCTCGCCAGAAAAAACTGATGCCTTTACCAGAGAGTTCTATGGTAATCAGAGGGTGATGTAGAAGATCCTGGAGAATCTGAAAATGATGCTGTACAGGAGGAGAATGTGGCCAGCCCAAGGAGGGAATTGCTGAGTAAACTGACTCTACAAGACACCATCCTCATGGATAGTAGTGACAGTGTGGATCAAGAATTTATCAAGGATGTAATGACAAGATTCAAGAATAATCTTATATCTCTCATTGAAATCTCCAACATGAAGGATCAGGAACAAATTTTAAAATTTAAAAAAACTTTGTATTCTGTTTCTAGCATGTTTCCAATCCATGAATCAGGTTCTAATGTGCAAGGAATGAAATTAAAGATCAAGGACATCAGCTTGCCTCAGTTTTCTGGGAAAGAATCTGAATACTTCAGGTTTAAGGCTGATGCACTTGACCTTCTAAACAATTCCAGGCATGATAACAGCAGTCATACAAGAGCTCTGAAGTCTGACTGTTTTAAACAATGTCCAAATGTTCTTGATCTTGTCCGTCATTGCAAAACAGTCTCTGAAATCTTTGAGATACTTGATTCAAGGTTTGGAAACATTGACAGGCATAGCCTAATGATCATTGCTTCCATTGAGAAATGCCCTCCGGCCCAAGAAACATCAAAAAGCATCATTGCACTTGCAGATTGCATATTTAAAATAAACAATGATATTTGTGGAGCTAATGCTTTGGAAACTGTTGCAAGTTTCCAAACTATCAGCAAAATCAAGTCCAAATTTTCTCCTTTGATGAGCCGTGATTTTGTTAAACAGTATGGAAATCTTGGTAAGCATGATAGTATTTCTCAATGGGGTTTCATTCTTGATTTTCTAAAACAAGAGAGAGAGACACAATTGAGTGTGTCTTCATTTGAAGTTACAGGCTCTACACAGCCTGTTAAATCTAATTTACAAGCAAAAGTAAATTTGGTAGTTTCCAATGATGCTTCTGGTAAAAAATGTGTACTTTGTGGTGGAAACCATCTTCCCTTTGAAAAGTCTTGTCAAATGACTGGATCATTTTTGACTCCTAAAACCCGGGAAAAAGCTAAAGCTGTTGGCTTATGCATGACCTGCCTAAACCCTTCATGTAAAGACAAGCATTGCAAAAGAAATTTCTTTTAGTTTCTAGTTTGTTTGTTTTTTCCTTTTGTGTTTTACTGTCCTTAAGATCTAATTTAAAATATTTTTGAGAAAAACATTTTAATTTACTCTTGGGGGGGAATGTTTAGCTTTGATATATTTATATAAAACGATATTACTGTTTGTCTATCTTACAGTACAAAGTAGGTAGTTTCCATTTAAACTCCGCACCTTTCACAGGTGTGGAGACAGTTTCCAAGATGAATTTATCAATATAAAAAGGTAATAGTTGTAAACCTTAAATAACCTTTAGATTGTATGCATAAGTGTATGCATATTTATCAAGTTATAAATCTTAACTATTTTGTATATTTCAGTTATGTGCTTTAGACGAGTGTTAATGAAAATGAGAAGATTGAAAATAAACATCTATAAAGAAAACTTGCTCATTATATTCACAAGTCTACCCATCAACAAAACTTGTTGTCTGGGCCTTATTGAAAGGAAACCTGAAACTGATTCCTCTCAATACAGTAATCTTTAACTTAAAATCGGTTATAAATACAGAAAAAAGAAGTGAAACATACAGAAAGCACAAAGAGCACATTATAAATTTCATTTGAGATAATTATCTCAACATTTAATCACAACAATGAGATTTGTCCAGCTAATAAAACTTTATGAGATATCTCTAAGATTCTGGAAATAAATGTTCTTGATTTTGACAGGCTATTCTTTATCTCTTCTGACAGTGTGCTTACATATACAGTGCTTAAAAAGAAAGTACAAGGAGTAAAGTAGTGAGTACAATGAGAACAGAACAGAAAAGGAGCTTAGCCTACAGGAAGAACAAGGAAAACATTATTATTTGTATTTGAGAATTATCTCAACATTTTATCTTGGCACTGAGAGATGTCCAGCTTATAAAATGATATAAGATCTCTCTAGCATAGAGTGCTCAAGTTTGGAAAAAATGTTCTTGAGTTTGGAATAACAATGTTCAGTCAAAAGGCTGAATGGGCCAAGAATTTTTGCAGCATCTCACATGACCCTTGGTAATTTTAAGGATGGTTGAAGATGAAAAATCTGCATTACAATCCCCGAAATACGATTTACAACAAAATATTGCTGCTGAAAGAGAAAAGGTTAACTAAAATTGTTACTATAAGGGGGATCAAAAGCACCCTAAAAGCCTAATAAAATATGTTTTACTTACCCACAACTCCAACTATTCTGTAAATAAAAAGTTTTTAATTTTAATAAGTAAAAAAAGTGAAGACATAGAACGGGTTCTTAAAAATATTATAATGATAATTAAAAGAACAAATGTTGAACAAACAGAAATTATACTTGAAAAGAACATTAAAATAAGGAACGTTTTCACACTATCAGGAATGCATGTGTGGATCAGTAATGTATTCTAAACCATCTTGAAATATTAATAACTTCCCCCCCTTCCTCAATGCAACATGTTCCCTATTCTATTAATCTGTCCATGCCATTTAAACCATAGTTGTTCTGGTCCACCTTATTTTATCTAACAGCAGGATGAGGGCTCAGAGCTAAAAGTCTGAAAGCCTGAATCAAAATTTCTAACCAGTTTTGAACCGGTTTTGGGCGTGCACTAGTTTCAAAATTGATTCACTGGTGTCAACTTGAAACTGGCGGCCTAGTTTGGGGATCAAATTTGAAACTAGCAAAAAACAAAAGAATATAAATAATAAATATGGGGGTTTTGACAATGAAATGACATGACATGAAAATGATTAAAAGATTAAAATGTTTTGCCAAATTAAATAAAATTTATAATTTTGATTCTACATTCTGATTAAATAAATTCTACTGCTTTAATGTATATAGGAGTACAGTTTATACGATTTATATACTTGCCCTCGCCTATCCTTTAGAATTACTCCCCCCCCCCCTCACATAAGTGCTATATACTCTTCACTAGTTTTCACACATCATGTAGCGGCCCTCGTCCTTCCCTTTTGCCCCCCTTGAAGCTTCCTCTCATGCCAAGCCACTGCTCCCCCCCCCCCATCTTCCTTTCCCTCTCAACCTTTCTCTCGATGCACAGTGTACACGGTACATGCCCATATCAATCCCCCTTTCTCTCTGTACAATTTATGCCCCCCCTCCGTATTCCCTTCCTATATATCTAAAAATGTCCCGCCTCTCTGTAAACATGCCCTATATCCCTTCCTCTCTGTATTTGTCCTCATTATTCCTTCCTCTCCAAACATGTCCCCCTTCTTTTCCTTTCTCTCGTATATGGCCCCCCTTTCTCTATACATTTAACAACTTACTGTACATGTCAGCCACCTCTACCTACTCCCTTCCCTGTACAGTTTATAATGCCCCTTTCCTTCCTTGTATGAAGTTGGCCCCTGCCGTAATACTGTAGACCGCGCAGGCAAGCTTAGGTGGGACAAGACCGGTTTGCATTAGATTCTTTTATCCCTCTAGCAGGATCAAATCTGTCTCGTAGAATCAACTTGGTTTAGACTTTTAGCTCAGATCAACCCTAGCAATCTCTAAACAAGACCATTGCATAGACAAGCTGTGCAGGAAACTTAGTTAGCCTGGTCCTGGCTAAGTCCATCACAGCAAAAGGACAGCATCTTTATTTCAAAGATTAATTATCAAAGGATTTTAATTTATCAAGTTGTGGAAAGTTAACTTTATTTAGAACTCCCCCCCCCCCCCCTACAGTGGGATATTTTGAAGGGTCAGCCAAAATGAATTTATTCTCTTATTTATGTCAAATAAGGCTTAGCCCCTTAAGAAAATATTTTTGATAAAAATCTCTATGTTGTTTAAATGTTATGTTTAAGTTAAGAATTTCCACAGAAAACCTGCTATTTCATGGAAAACTCTTAAAATGGGTTTTTCAACATGCTGCTCTGTCTAAATCAAGGATTTGGGGTGCTGCTGGAGCCCCTAAATCTTTTCTATATGGCTGTTAGAATCCTTTTATATATACAGATTATATTTACATATTTGGATAATCCCGGAACCCCTGTGCTTTCTTGTGCATTACTAAAAAATATATGTTTTTCTTCCTAAATACTTGCTGTAACAAAGACAACATCTAAATATATTGCAGGATTACAGGATCCATTCAAGGATAAATTTATGAATTTTTAAACTGAAATCATTAAAAAATTAATGCTAGCTACAAGTCATACAATGTTTGAAAGTGAAAGACAAATGCATGTTAAGAGGAGTATTGTGACAAAAACCAGTCACCTTCACCCCATTACCCCCTTAAATACCCCTCCCCCCAACCTGTTCCTTTTCATTCAGACCCCCCCTCTTCTCAACAAAGAATGGAACGAGGATGGAACCATTTATGACAAATAAGGGAATTGAACGTGGATGGAATTGTTCTAGACTAAAAATAAAAAGAATGGAATGGAACAGGATGTAACCATTCTCTACAAAAAAAACACCAAGAATGGTCGGAACAGAACATAAAGAAAGAACTAATGAGAAACTATCGATCTAGCAAAAGGTCCTCATTTTAGAACAGCAGAACAATTTCAAAAAAACCGAAGCGTGCCCAGCCCTACTTCACATTAATTAATGACAAATTAAAAGGAGAAACTTTTTGTGAGTCTAAAATAAATAAAATTTTGTATTATTTAAATTTTCTAATGTATACAGTATTTAAACTACAATATATGATAAAATGCATGCAATGCTGTCACTTTAATGAATATAAATTCAACCACGAAGCAGCCAGAAGTCAGCCTGCTTGAACCTAGTTGCACAGGCTAGCCAATGAATGTCCAGAAGGGACAGGGACAGTAGGGTGTCCTTTCAAAGCGAAAAATGAATTTTGAAGTAGTGCGTTGTAAATCCTGGTACTAGATGATAAAAAAATACAATTGGTATCAAAGAAAATTTCAAAGTTGAGTATTTCCACTCAGAGTTAGGATTTCAAAAGTAGGGCCTAAAATACTGGAGGTTGGGTGATTATAAAATATTTATAAATTTAGTTAGGTAATTTTTCTCATCCAAAACAATAAATACACACTTTTTATTGAGTTGGATTTATTTATTATCACAGGATCATAGAAAATTTACATACACTTAGTAAATCTTAAGATAAGTTTTACACTGTTTAGAATCTAATTTTTTATTTTTTTTAGAGTTTCCTTTGATATCATGTTATTCATTGTTATAAGATAACCTTTGTTGAAAACAAATTTTAATTAAAAAAATTAATTGTAAAAAATAAGAAAACCCTACAGAGATTTCCTAACATCAAAGTAAATATTTGCATAGCAAAGTTTTAGGGATCATAAATTAAAGAATAACACAATATTTAGAGTTTATCTTACTTCTCTTTAACTGTTGTCATGATATCCTGTCTTAAACTCTCATCTTCAGATGATTCTATAAACTCCTAGATAAGTTTTACAACTCTCTTGACACAGTCATTAACTACAGAAAGTTTAGTGATGGAACTTCTTGAACCTCAGCTCTTGAAAGAACCGTTCATCCACCAGTTCTCCACCTTCACCTCTAACCAGCTCATGTCTGTTATTTTAGACATCTTTATGAGGAACCAAGAGTCTGGTCCTACTAAATTAGATAACTCCTTGATTTCTGATATTGGAAGATTAATCTCCAGGTATCCTACAGTATAGGAATCAGGACCTAGGTGACTTAGCAGCTTTGCTGCCATGTTAGCTTTGACAATATCATCAAGATCATCATCTACGATAGCTGCTAAACACAGATGCTGCAAAAAGAACCAACCAGGTATGCTGGCAGAGGCTCTTGTTAACAGCATTAGCAAGCTGGGATCAACTGTAGCAAACTTTCTCATTTGCTTGAGGTCAAGTAAATCATTACTTGGGGCTTTTTCAGGTTAAGCACAAGTAAGAAACCAGGGTACATTGAACAAGACAACAAAAATAGCAGCCCTGTTGATATTGTATATATCTTGGTTTGAGAGAAAGGGATGTAACTTTAGAAACATGACTAGTTTTTCAATGTAAATCCCTTTTGCCAATAACCTGGCATTATGATGAGCTCCAGGTCTGAAAATTCCTTTAAAGCCAAAGACCTTGACTCCTAGGTACAGTGCAGCCAGCTCACATATCTAATTGTAATCACCCCTATCGAATGTGCCAAGTGTAGAAGCTCTTTGACAGAACTGCAGAACTTCTTCAGCTCTCTCACCAAGGAATGATCCTCTGTGTTTTTTCCAACCAAACTTTGTGTAAGTTTTAGATTCAACCATTTCTTCAACTTCCTTGGTAACATCATTCCACTTATCTTGCAGCTTTTTAAATAGAGGGTCATCGGGAGTTGTTGTATCTCCAGTTACAATTTGCATTGCATGCTTTACATGCAGCTCAGTAATGTGCCTCCTACAAATCATCCAAACCAGAGGCTGTTCCAGCTCTTTCTGTATCAGCTGGATGACACCCGCATACTTTCTGGTTTGAGTAGCAGTTGAGTCACAACATATTCCAATATTTTGAGCATGGATTCCCCATTCATCCAACAGTGGGATTAAGCTTTCTACCTGGTGAGCTCCAGCTGAGCTATGTATAACTGACAGTCCTATCAGCTCATCCTCTTCCAATGTTGGTGAAGAAACTAATATGGAGCATCTTTCATTAGTAGAAACTTTTCCGTTTGTATACTTTTTATCAAGCTTTCCATCAAAATGCAAATTCAGATTATGTTTTTGCACAAATTCTTTCTGCATATCCCTAATCGTATTAGCTTTCTTCTTGATTGCACTGGTCCAAATCTCCGTCCTTCACTGGTTATAAGTTTGGAAATAATACTTGTAGCTCCCCTTACTGAAATATGATTGGCCTTTGAAACTTCAGCTGTTAAACCATAAATATTCTTAATAGGAAGAGAGAAAGTAACAAAGCCATGAGTGTCATAAACAACAATATCATTCCTAGGCTTTTTAGCAGAATGCTGAACAGTTTGTTCTACATTATCATTCTCATCAGAATCAGAGTTCAATTCTACCAGTGCTTCTCGTTGCTCCCTTTTCTTTTTTCTATCATGGTTATATCTGTGATTTTTGCTGTATTAGTAACACTTTTCTTATATTTGCTGGCATAAACCTGATCCTCCTTATCCATTCTCTGTTTCTCTTTCTACGCTGATCCTCTAGAAATTGGAGATCCTCTGTCTTGGATGATGCATCTCTCTTTTAGTCAGATGTGACCAAATCTCTCCAATTTACTGAGCCGATGTCAAATAGTTTATTACATTTCAGCTCAAATTCTGTTACCTTCTATGGACTTTGTTTTTAAAGCTAGACATATTCAGCATGTAGCTTTATCAATCTGGTTTTAATGGCACTATCCTTGAGAGTTTGAAAAACTGCTATTATCCAAGATTGCTTAACTTCTTTAACAAGGCAGCCTGATGTTGAAAGGTCATTTCACAAATAGCTGAGTTGGATGCAGGTAAAGAACAGCATACAATTTCAGTTATGTGAGCTTGTTTTTCAACTTTCAGGATAAACTTGATTCGTTGCAAAATTTCTTAGGTTTTCTGGTAATACAAAATAATTACAATTCTTATTCCTTTTAACAATTGTACCTGAAAATGGGAGATTTTCTGTAAATTGGCCAATTAAATAGTTATCAGTTTGTTTTCTAGTTATTTTCTTAATTACTGCATTTTTTCCCTCCATTTTTCATTCTTGTATGCTAATGAAATGCTGAAAAATTACTTCTGAATAAGCAAAATAACACAAACTAATATTAACATTACAAGAATAGTGTCAGGTGATGTAAAATTACAATAATAAAATAACTAGGAAGAAATAAGATAAAAGCAGCTGTTACAATCACGCAACTACTCAAATATTTTAGGCACCACTTTTGAAATCCAAATTCTGAGTGGAAATACTAAACTTGGAATTTTTTTTTTGATACCAATCATATTTTTTAGCATTTAGTACCAGGACTGCAAAGGTTGGCCCAGCTTGCGTTTTAAATGTACACCGGTTGTGCATGAGTAAGAAATACAATAATTTAGCTTACTTTGGTGGAGCTGAATCATATCGTGGATAAAAATCTAAAAAGATAATACCATTTTATTTTTAATCTACTTGCTAATATATTTGTATTCAAACATATTATTTAAATACAGGGTTACCAACAAAGGATGCAACTTTAATGACAATTTAAAACTATAAAAGTAAAAACAATTTGAATGTTTTCTTAAATTACGCACAATTGAAGTTTTGCTTTTCATGTGTAGTTTTTACAAAATTTCGAGAAATTATCTTGTAAAGCCATAATTTCACAAAATTTAAGTTTCACTTATTATATGTAATCATTACAAAATTTTGGGAAACTGCAATGTAGAAATTTTGTGAATTTATGACTTAAATTTGCGAAATTGAAGTTTCACCAATTACAATCAATTCTGCGAAATTACACAAAATAAAGATTCTTTCGCCTAACTGCATGTAATTTTGCGTAAGCAAATAATCCATTATGTTGGAAACCCTACTTTTTGATTTCTGATTTACATTTAGTTTACATATGCAGGGAACCATAAATATCAAAAAAAAAGGCTGATTTAATTCTGTTAAATTGTCTCTGAAGCCTTGTCCATTTTGAGAAACTTGTATTATAACTCTATCCTGCTTGGGCTATTTTTGTTTAATAAAGATTGGGGGGACTTATTTCCCCTCCCCCCACTCCTATGATTTTGTTTTTGAGATAGGGGAGTGTGATAAAAGTCCATAACTTTTCAAGTAAGTCCCTAACTTTTCTAGGCAAGCTTATAAAAAAGGAATAAGACCTCTAACTTTAATGGTTAGGGTGCAAGGGAGGCATTAAAAAAGTTTAAATAGTATGTTGGAGAAATGTTTAAAAATACCTATTTTTACTTTTGATAAATATTAACATGTTTTGATGTGACACATCCATGTTTCAAGCGTTTTATTAATTAAAATGTTATCAACTGTTTTGATTTTTTTTAAACATAGACCAGCTTTATGACCTTTCTTCAATCTACCCTATGCAACAATAAAAAGGTTAAGAGAGTCCCAATGAATGTGACTCTTAAGTGACTAATTGTTATTTTTTGTGTAGAATGCAGATACATGAAATTGATTTACCTCCTGCTGCATAATCTACACCAGTACATCCAGTATCCTGCATCCTCCTGCTGCATAATCTACACCAGTATTGAATCTAAAACATTAAATGTTATTGATTGAATTCATTTAAGCTTGACTTCCTTAATCTTTAAGTTTTAAATTGAAATATTGATGATTTCTTTTAATGTAAACTGCTAATCTTATGTTCCCCAAAAATATATTTGTTGATTACACATACAACATGAAAAGTTAGGTTAAGGCAAGATTTAGATCACATGTAACTACTTGTTATCAAAATTTAATTGGCTTACCTGTTGGAATTCATTCCACCATAGACTGCTGGATAACCATAGTTTACTGGAAGAAATGGACCTACAGTTAAATAATCTAAATCTATGTTCCTAGAACACTTCGCACCACTTTTACTAGTATTTTTATATCATTTGTTGATTTGTTAAGCAATTAAAGGTTAATAGAAATTTTATATGTTTTACAAGATAATAGAGATAAGGTTTTTGAACGTTAACAGGAGATTGCATTAACCAACCTAAGTAAGAACATAAATTTCCAGTTTAAAAGAAAGAAAACCAAATGTTTAAGTATACTTACAATATTAACAAAACTAAATTTTTCAAAAATCATTTAAAAAATACCATGCATTGCTTGAGGCAAAGGAACCCCATCTGATAATTTCAACAAAACAGCAAAAACCAGAAGCAAACACTCACTGCTAGGTTTTAGCCTAATCATAAAAAAAAATTATGCAGAAAGTTCTTTTTATACTTAAAAACAAATTATTGCACTACAAGTAATTTAATTATAAACCTTTTTTTAACCTTTTTATGTAAAAAATATCCATATTTTGAAAACAATTTTCATTCAAAATATTCCTGTTAAAATAAATTTTGTAATTTAGCTTTATTAAAGGGATTTGTAAACGCAATTTCAAGTTACCCTCCATCAATTAAACACTAGCAAGAAAAACAACTATATCTTCCACATTGATCAGATAAAGGGTTTAAAGGTCTGTTATGCAGCAGGCATGTCCCTCTTTACAGAAAGGATCACTTGTAATTACAGTCCATTCAGTAATTAAAAGTGTTTAAAATCACATGCAACTAAAAACAATGCAATTAAAACATCCCACCCCCCACAATAGTTTATTTTTACTCACATTTTTATATATATTTAATTACTTCAGTAAAAGAAGAGCTGGTTCAAAACAAACTGAGATTAATTTTGAAACGACCTTAGCATAAATTTTATTAATTATAATATTATAATTCATACTTTTTATTTCTAAAATATTGTTTTTATGTTTACAGAATTATATTTTTGAAAGTTTGTGGACAAGATCCAAATCTGACATGAGGATATCAACAAACTCATCCTAAAATATAAAATTATATTAATATTTTCTTCAAAACTTTAGATTTAAAAGAACTGTAAGCAATATTTCAAGTGACCCTTCATACAAAGATGTCAATGCCTGATTTACAACGCTACGATGTCTGACTTACAAGGATACGATAATTATCAAGTATCAATTAGATATCCATATTTATAATACTGAAAAATTATTATTTTCAGTTGTGATTTCTCTACCAAAAAGACTTGCGCATTTCTACTGCAGGAAAAAATATATGAATTTACAGAGTTAAACATTTTTAAACTTAGAAAAATGACCATGTCTTGCACATTATTGATCAGATAAGGGCAAAAATATCAAAATATCAAATGCCAAATTATGGAGTACAAACGAAGTACGTTTCAATTAGGTCTACAAGCTAGAAATGTAAATAAATCAGAGAAAAACAAAGATAATATATATATAGATATGCAGGCAGGTAGAAACCTCCTTCCTAAATTGCTTGTAGCAGACAACTAATTTTTGAACCTCTGAGAAAATGGTTTTCAACCTGGTTTAGTGCGACACCAGGTCAGCTGGTTCAAAACAAACTGAAATTAATCTTGAAACTAGAGACCTTTACATAAATTTTATTAATTTTAATATTATAAATCATTAAATTGGTTTTAAACTATATAAAGCCAGGAGTGTAAATATGGATTCTGTAGAGGGGGGTAAATATTTTAACTATAAACTATAAATACCGGGTATTCAACTGAACATGAGTCATATTTGGACTTTTGATTTAATCTGTTATGCAACGACTGCTATGAGCAAGGTATGCCAAAAATCGAGTTCCAGAAGAAAATAGCATTTGTCGACCCCCAGGTGGCTTGAGTGCCATCGCAGGGAAATCGTTATCATGGGATGGTAAATAACCTTCAGAACACTAATTACTCCACCAGAGGGATGCTGATAACCACTCAGGACACTAATTACTCCACCATAGGGATGCTGATAACCACTCAGGACACTAATTACTCCACCATAGGGATGTTGCACATCACCCTGGGCACTAATCACTCCACTGGAGGGATGCTGATAACCATTCAGGACAATAATTATTCCATCAGAGGGTTGCTGTCAAGTGACAACCACTCAAGAGTATATGTCAGCATCCCTCTGGTGGGGTAATTAGTGCACAGGATTATTTGAAGCATCCTTTCAGTGGAGAAATAAGTGTCCTGAGTGGTTATTAATTTCAACATTTTTTTTCCATAACTGTAAAAACTATTGAAATTGGCAAATTAAGTAGCCTTAGCTTAAACTTTTTGGCAAAAAATAAGATTTTGAACAAAAATTTGAAAATTTTCTCATTTTTGTTGGCAGCACTAAAATTTTGCACAAGAAAATAATTCTAAATGTTCAATCATGCATAAGATTTTATTTTTATTTGACAACCCTGACATATGTTGTATTCGGGACTTATTCAGACAAGGGTGAAGAGTCCCTTGAATATACTGAGGGATCTAGATATGAATCAGTACAACCAGCAGTAGACACAAGTCTCCTGCACATTACTGCTGTGGGTCCTGTGTTATATACAGTCCTCAGAACATTCTAGAGTTACGGTGTTTTCACAGAATCATGAGATTGGTGTTTAGGAACCTAGCCTGCATTGGAAGCTTATAAAAATTTGAATCATTTTTGAAAAACGTAAAAGGTTTTAAAAGGTGTCTTGCAAAAAATATTAGGTTTTATGGAGAAGATGGAGAAGTCAGAATTTATATCTCCTGAAATCTTATTATTATTATTATTATTAAAATTATCTCCAATTATATGTATTGTTTCTATGAAAATGTAGATATTCTTAATNGCCGGCCTCTGTATCTCCACAACCCTTTATTGAAAAAAATTGAAACTTTAGATCTAATCTATGGACACTACAATGAGTTAACCCTGTATTTTTCAGCAAGATCAGAAAAAAAATTTTGTCTCGTCACTAATGGGTTAATGAAGGGTCGTTGTTAAGGATCATTAATGAAGGTTTGTAGTTAACAATTGTTAACAAAACAATGAGTTTTTTAAAAACGATTGTTCTGTTTTTTGATTTTTTGTTGTCATTTTCATAACAAAATGATCGTTTTTAAACAAAAAAAAGGATTAACATTTGCAGGTATAATCCCCTCCCCATTCTGTATACCTGCAGTGAATCTGCTCAGGTTTGTTCCCTTTAAGTGGACTGAATGCCCATTAAAAACAATCATGAGAATAATGCAGATACAGAGTAAGTAAAGGGTCCGCCTGCTGAGCATCCTCCTGCTCCTGGTTTTCAACCTGGTTTAGTGCGACACCAGGTCATTCCCCCCCCCCCCCTTTTTCAGAATCATAGTTTTTCCCCAAGAAAATGACAAATATATACCCCTGTACAGTCAATCAGAAAACTTTCTGATGAATCCTACAAAGTCAAGAAATATAAAATCATTGGTGAAATGTTTGATGCACAAGTCCCTTCATCCATTTTTGGAAAATATATGATAGACTTGGTACAATTTTGATACATCAAGATTTTTGGCATTATTATATTTTTTCAGAGAAGGAATGGCTGATCTTTGAACTTCATGACTTGAGATGAAATGAGAGACAAGAATATTTTCATCAACGTAAGCTAGAACATTACAGAAGCATTTCTTAATTATTCAACTTATGCATTTAATCATTTATTATTCATTATTTATTTATATTCATTTATTCATTCATTAATTTATTCATTCATTCATTTATTCATTCTCTCATTTATTTATTATTATTACTAGTATTATTATTATAAATAATGAAGGGGGAGGAGTTACCACCTTTTTCAGTTATTTTCAGCATCTTTTTCATAATCCAAGGAAGGAATGCAAAAGGAGTTAATTTTGTGAGGTATATAAGTTTAGAAAATTATTAACAAATGAGCTTTTTTAAATTATTATATTCTTTGCTAATCTAAATGTCACACTATACTTATTCTAATCCATTTACTAGGTTGTGTTGGATTGCTACAAAGCAGAAATAAGTGGCTTTGCCAAAAAATGCAGAAAAAAAATACAAAGGTTTGTTGGTGAGATTCTACACATGCAAAAAGCTGCTAACCCTAATCAGTATTTTTGTATTCAGTGAGGACACACATAGAGATGTTGGGAATATGGATATCAAACATCATGTCTAATTTAATTCTACTGTAAAAAGTATTATGAATATGAATTCAAATAAATTTTTTAGTGCTTATAACAAATTATGCTCCTATCAGTCATCATGTCAAATATCTACTTCTCATCACAAATGATCCACGTTAGTAAGACATATTTCAGACCTATAATTTATTAAAATATTGTACCACAAAAGTTTCCATTCAAATCAAATTTTGAATAAATTCAATAGTTTGGTCCAGTTTGAGTTTCGAACACCATCAGGTGACCAAACTTAAATATTCTGTTTTTTGCTCATTAAAAATCTAAATTCTTCTGAATACATTACCTGCTGCAGAGTTCAGATTCTCATAATGGAAATAATTTTAATCTGTGACTACAGTACCAGACTCATACAGTAAATTACTAAATAAAGTTTCCTTGTTATTAAAGAATCCCTAGGAATTCTTCAAACTTATCTGCTAGCATTGCTTCAACATTGTTCCAAATTAAATCTTTACTCTCACATTGCAAATCTCAAAAACAAGGTAGGAATTAATGGGTTTAACAATGAGCTGTCACTGGCTGCAGTCTGGCAGCAAATGAATTTATTCATCCACCCTTTTTTTTATAACTTTCCCTTGGCGACTCTTGCCTAGACTTAAAAGAAGAAAAATTGATGATTATTTAATTAATTGTAATAAGACCTAACTCCAGTTAGAGTGCTTTTCAGACCTGAAGCAAGCATTTCAATATTTATTAGGGTTTCCAATCGGAATTCCATTGCAATGAATTGCACGGAATTGCCTGGAATTGTGCGGAATTGCCTGGAATTGTGTGCAATGGTTTCTTCCACTTGCGCTATTTCATTGCATGCAATTTCGCTATAATTGCAAAAGCGAAGCAATTAAATATTCATGGAAATGCGCCAAAATGCGTACAATTGCGCAAAATTGTGTGCATCGGAATTGCTTACTGTAAACCCATCAAAATTGTGTATAGATTGTATACTGTATCCTAGTTCGTTCAACCCAAGCCTTATCATCAGTTGAGGACTGGGTAAATGAATAACAATAATTTAACCCATTACTTGGCATCTGTACCAACGGGAAAGGAAATTTCCATGGAGAGCTGAGATTCGAACCCTATTTTGACCCTGTATCTAGGGAGGATAAGATAACGGAACTTTCGAGAAAGCAAAATTAAAAGCCATTTTATCCCCCAGAGTATGATCAGTCTTGATGAAGGAGCGAAGGAGAAGGGTTGATAAGATCTTCAGAATCTCCAAGAGGAGAATTATCTTCATCTATGATTCAAGGATTAACTTCGGTTGATCCTGCAGTTTGTATTCAATAATAATGTAAAATAAATGTCTTTGCTAAGTTGGTATGTTAATCGATTCAACCTGGCTTGTTATCCCAACAAGACAAATAACGTTCTGAGAACGTTAGATAACGTTCTTTTTAGGACTCATTAACGTTAATTAACGTCACTATTTAACGTTCCAGGAACGTAAAAACGTTTCCACTTTTACGTTATGTAATGTAAAAAAGGGTACGTCATGTAACGGTAAGTTTAACGTTATCCAACGTTCATGAACCAAACTTTTACATTCAGAAACCCCAAATATGGGCACAGTTTCCGTAGAAGTTATGTTAAGTAACGTTATTTAACGTAACAATGCACGTATAGTTGCGTACATGAACCTAACTTTTACGTCAATGAACCCTTAACATTTAAGCAGCTTTCACAAAAGAAACCCCAAATATGGGCACAGTTTTCACGGAAGTTACATTAAGTAACGTTAATTAAGGTAACACAAAGTATGGTTCCGTGCATGAACCAAACTATACATTAATAAACCCTAAATGTGGAAGCATCTTTCACAAAAGTTAGGTTGAGTAATGTTATTTAACGTAACAATGACAATATGTTTACAAGAAACCAAAATTTGATTTTTATCAATCCAAAATATATGCTTATTTTTCATCGAAGTTACGTTGAATAACATTATTTGACGTACCAAAGAACAAAACCAAACACATAAGTACTTACCTAATGTTCTGATGAGAACACATATGTTCTTACCTATTGTTTTGTAGAGCACTATAGTACTTACCTATTAATCTGTAGGAAACACTTTGTACTAAACTTGTGTTGTAAAAAATACTTTGTACTTGCCTAATTGTTCTATAGAGAACACTATGTTGAGAACACATTGGTACTATTTTCTTAGTTGCATATTTGCTTATCATTCAGAAAATACTGTACAAAAGATATTAATATGATCAGTTATTGAGGAAATGGATAAAAATATACCAACAAATAAATAGTAAATATAAAAAATCACGGTACTTCTATTAAACATATTTAACATCAAATTCAGTGATGGTTAATTATTTCTGTTAAATTCTTGTTCCAGCTTTCATTGATCGTTGATTATACTTGTTTAATTATTCCATGTGACAATTGTTCGAAATTTAACAAACATAATGACGCATAAAATAAAAACTTTGTTTTTTTGTTCTTCTGCTGCAGCTGATGTGAGGTAAACTGTGACTGATGTGTTTCTTGGTATGCGGCTCGCAAGTAACTGGTCTGACTCTGGTGAATGAAGTGAGTGACTGCCCTGACTCAACACTCAACAGTAAGCGGACGAAGTACCTATAAGGCTACCGGGTGTCCCATGAAACATGACAGTTGGTAAATAGTTTAGAATGTCTTTTTTCCATAATTTGTAAAAAGATAATGAAGCAAAAGAAGATTTTTTAACTTGATTCAAATATCTTATAATGCAGCTAAATTAAACTATTCACATGAAATGGTACGCACAAAACATTTTTTGAAATGTTAAGGGGAATTTATATGAATAGCTAAGTTTGGCATTGATATGATTAAGTCCCAAAATTTGCAAAAATTTTGTTACGTGTATCATGCATGGATATCAAATGTAAAACTTTAAGCCTTACAACAAAGTAAGATATTTTGTAAATTAACGTTTATTTTCAAACCCCAATTACGTTAAATACCGTTATCTGATGTTCAAAGAAAACCTTAAGCTGACGTTATATCTTATGTGTTATGTAATGTAAATTTACGCTAATATATTTCATAAATTTAAAGTTCAATATAAACCTAAAACTAACGTTACCAACCTTCATAAAGGTACGTAAGCTTACGTTATATAGATAACATTTACGTTATTTAACGTTCTGTAACGTTACAATTGTTGGTACGTTCCCTAACGTTGAATTACGAAATGGTTTAAGGTTAGTCATGTAAAATGGTTTAGGGGGATATTGAGTTTCTCTTTGTAAAGTTTCCTTTAGTGAGTTCTTTATACGAGAGTTTCTCACCAAGTCTACATTACATATCTAAAAATCAATAATTTTAACTGCTCAACTTACAAATTTATGCAGCAGATACAAGAATGGAATTAAATATCTCTGTTGATTTTAAAATAATTGAGGCCCAAGTGTCACTTCTTTTAACAGTTTTCAAATTTTAAAGTTTCTTGTGCTTAAGCTACTAATTGACAATTTAGTAGGATACTAAACTTTTTGTGGTTAAAAATTGTAAGGTTCGTTTAATCATTAGATATTTTGCTACAGTGAGAACCAGAAAACTACAGAAAGACAACATCACAGTGTATTTGATGTTGCAGTTACATGGGTCTACTTGAGTCTAAACTGTTGTCTTCATATGCCAGAGTTATCTGGTTATCATGCTGCAAATGAATATTATGCAACAAAATATTCAGTTTAAATTCAATTTTTTCAGCATTTGAGACTGAAATTTTAGTGAAGTTCAGCTTATTGTATACCACTCCCAAAGTTTAAATTGAATATTTTTTTGTTGAAAGGCAATAATTAAGTGCATTTCATTCATATTTTATTTAACTACAAAGCATGAGATATTCAAATAAGCAATCACAATTTACCCGCCTAACCAGGGTTGGTTGTTTTGAGTGGTTGGCCCAAAGTTAATTAATAATACTGAATATAATTGATTACACATATCAATATATGTTTTTGGATAGGTAAGGAGTTGATTGGAAGGAAGGAGATTGTCAGGTGATCTGTGGCAGGGTGAGGTCAGAGGGATTTTTGTGTAGAGATAAATTAAAATACAGGGTGTTAATGATGGTAGTTACACAAACAGAAATAATCTAATGAAGTTTCAGTTATTTTAGTTTTTGTATATACAATTTATTCACATGATATACAGCAAGGATTTATTGCATGCCAAACGGTTTAATTTGCACGTAATTATTACGGAATTGCTTGCAAGGGCTTGCAATTGCGAGCAAAGCTATTTTTTTGCAAATAAAATTTTTGCAACATAAATTGGATATTTCCCAGAAAACCAGAACTTCAGCTATCAGATTTGTAAAAATGGCTACTTGGTAAGCAACAACCTTTTAACACGCTGTCAAATTAAAAACTAAAGATCGTGCAAGTTCAAGTAAGTTTCTGACTTTAGAGTAGCTGGAAGAAGGTGGAGGAAATAAGGAAAAGGGGAGAAGGTTAGAAGGCGGAGAGAAGAAGGTAGAGAACGGGTGGAGTTGGGATGTGGTAGAAGAGACTAAGAATGTGTATATTTAGATACATATGTAATAGACTATATAAATAAATTGTTTAAAATATATATATACACATAAATTTGCAACTCTGATCATGATTTTCAAAAACAACCTGTTTTAGCTTACATCAAATAAGGAAAAACTTGAAGTGCATAATATGCTGACCAGATTTGATGTTTAGGAAAATTTAAAAGGTTACCTTAATGAGATGGAGATTCTCAAGGCTAGTGATAAGAAATCCCTCTGCAAACTAGGTAAAATTGTTCAGTTCATTAATTCTTGCTTAACTGATCCATTTTTCTTCTCACATTTCTTATATTTATCTTACTTAAATGGAATTACATCCTCAAGGCGACAGAACAATACCAAAATATACAATACAATTTTTTTTGCAGATTCTTAAAGGAGAGTGCAAGAGCTTTTCAATGATGTATCATTTGTCATTTTTGGTCATCATACATGGGATTTAGAGGGGGCGTGGAATCAAATGGACCCCCCAAGCATATCCTGGTGTGTGAGTTCCCC